GCCTGTAGTGAGGCACGGCTGCTGCCATGCCTGTAGCGAGGCCCAGCTGCTGCCATGGCCTGTAGCGAGGCCTGAGTGCCGCCACGGCCTGTAGCAAGGCCTGGGTGCCGCCATGTCCTGTAGCGAGGCCCGGCTGCTGCCATGGCCTGTAGCGAGGCCTGGGTGCTGCCATGGCCTGTAGCGAGGCCCGGCTGCTGCCATGGCCTGTAGCGAGGCCCGGCTGCTGCCATGGCCTGTAGTGAGGCCTGGGTGCTGCCACAGCCTGTAGCGAGGCCTGGGTGCCGCCATGGCCTGTAGCGAGGCCCAGCTGCCACCACCACCACCTGTAGCAAGGCCCGGCTGCCGCCGCCTGTACGTAGCTTTCAAGTGCCCTACTTTCACCACTGTTCCGCTTGTTTTGTGCGGAGACATCCTGATGTTATTTTACTTGCGCTGCGTGACACATGGATGGCTTCCTGGCCCTCTGCAGACGCTCTCCTCCACGCAACTACTGAACTTGGGGCTGTTCCTATAGCCCGGCCATCTCTGTTCTTCACCTCCCTCCTTGGTTCCCCTGCTTTTCTAACGCTCTTGTCCCAGGCTGTGTGCTCAAACAGAAAGAATAATCTTTATTCCTCTAAAGTCCCCCAGTCAGGAGCTTCATTCACTGGTACCTGCAAAAAACAACAACTCTTGCATCCTAAAATCCTGAGCCTGAGAGAGAAAAAGACTCAAAGTTCTGTTAATGGGAGGCAGTTCATCCAAGGCAGGCAGCAACTGCAGTACCAGAGATACGTGACTACACCTTTGCAAAGATTAGGAAATGGTTAATCTTTTATCACTGTGAAACCCTCCCCAAAAAAAACATCCCTTCCAAATCTGAAATTCCTTTTCCGAAGAAAGAGGTCATTATACAAAAACATAATTTGCTAAACTATGAACAAATTAAATCGCAGCATTATAATGAAATCTGTCTTGCAATTTCAATTAAGTTGAAGTTTGGAGGTGCAAACCTCCAACAACAATCTTAACAGTGGTATTTCATTAAAGCAACATTTGTTATTAAAGATAGAAATGAGGTGGGTGAAGAAATAGTTTCTCTGCACAGGTAATGTATGCCCTTAAGCAGAAGAAAGATTAAAGAAGTTGTACTGGGCATTTGCAAGTTCTAATCCTGCTATTTAACCTCAAAGCAGTTCCCTATATTGAATTAAGTCTTGAGCTACATGATGGGTGGGTTTGTCCAAGGCCAAAGAAAATCTATTTCATATTTGAATCCTGAAGTTGTGATTTCAGATTTTAGTTGCAGGTGGGTGGGCTTTTTGTTTGCTTTTAAACACTGAAATTAACTGCCTTACAGGACTTGTACTTGGCCTGTGTACAAATTTTTAAAGGTGATTTAAAAATTTTTCAGCAGATCCCAATTACGTGCTGTGCATTTAAGCCAACTGAAAATGAGATACTGAGAAAAATCATATAATCAACTTTGGCTACCACCTTCTGTCTTCATGAACCATTTTTTTCTGCAAGCTAGTTCAGAATAATGTTACTAAGGTCTACCTATAACATATACACTATTAWGTCTTTAAACTGCAATTTAACTGCCTAAACTGATCAAGCTACATATAAAAATATCTGTAACTGATAAAGTTTTCTGTGAAAATCAAGTTAGAGGAAAACTACACATTATTAAAACACCAATAAGTCTGCAAAACAGATTTTCAGGATAAACATCTTTAATTTCTAGGACATTAAATAACTCAATAAAAACTACACAAACTARGCTGTAGATGTGTATAGAGGTTTTTTTTTTTCCCCGTTAATAGGAACAGAACATACCAGATAAAATAAGTAGTTCAATAATTTCTGCATCTCCCAGATAGGCAGCAGCATGTAAAGGGGTCCTTTTCTCATTATCCTGTGGTAAGAGGGGGGAAAAAAGGTTTTATTTAAAATAAAAAGTATGTTTCAGCATTCTGTATGAGTTACGAAAAAAACTGCATAAACAGCTGCATAAAAGTGTATCTTCCAAATAATGTACATTTTATATTTTAGAAAACAAACTTACTCTAAAGACATGTAAAGCACATTTATCAAGACAAGCAAGCTTCTCTCTAAGTGACAGTTATACATCTAAAGTCAACTGTTTTTAAGTATTACTTATTTCCTGACATACAAACACTGCCAGACACTTGTCACATTGCAAGATTAACCCATCAGAGTTAGGAATATAATTCAGTTGTCTGCAAAAGCATGAGCTTGATGCTGTACGTTGCATCCTTTTTGACTGTGTAGGACAGTCTAAATTTTCTTTGGAAAGTTTAAAGTTATTTTCCACAGTCATTTTAAAAAGAAAAAATCAGGAAGTTGGAAGGAGTAAGAGCAAAAATATTCAAGTCAGAACACTTCTGATTAGTTCAGTGCTTTGATTAGCGCAGTGCTTCAGATATATGGGCAAGTGCTCACACTTCACAAACTGCAAGATCTCAAACCCAGGCTAAATGAAGGTTGAATCTTGGTGGGTTCCGAATATCTCCAGAGCAGGAGACTCCACAAGGTCTCCCTGCAGCCCGTGTTGGGCTCTGCCACCCCCACAGTCCCCGAGCTTTTCTGCATACTCACACAGAACTTCTTGTGTTTCTGTTTGCCACTGTTGCCTCTTGTCCTATCACTAGCCACCACTGAAGAGTCTGCTCCCATCCTCCTGCYACCTTCCATTAAGGTTTCTATACACATTGATAAGGTCACCTCTCAGCCTCTTCTTTGGGCTGTGCAGGCCCAGCTCTCTCAGCCTCTCCTCACAGGACAGATGTTCCAGCCCTCTGACCACCTTTGCAGCCCTGTGCTGGACCCTCTCCAGCAGCTCCAGGTCACTCTCATATTGGGCAGCCCAYRGACACCCCACTCCAGATGTGGCCTCATCAGGACTGAGCGGAGGGGCAGGAGCCCTCCCTGGGCCTGCCGGGCCCACTCCTCCTCAGGCACCCCAGGACCGTGGGCCTTCTTGCCACACTGCTGGCCCGTGGCCAGCCTGCAGCCCCCCGGGACCCCCAGGTCCTCCTCCACAGCGCAGGTCACCCGTAGCCTGCACTGGTGCCTGGGATCGCTCCTCCCTACATGCAGGACCCTGCACTTGCATGGCTGAACTTCAGGAGGCTCCTCTGTGCCCATCTCTCCAGCTTGTCCAGGTCCCTGTGAAGGGCAACGCTCTGTCCCTCCACGCAGGTCACTGCTGAACGACCTGAGCAAGACGCTCCGSATCCCCGAGCGGAGCAGCACGCGGAGCACCAGGCTGGCTGCTCCTGGGCCGGCACTTCCGAAACGTGGGAACCACTAATCAAGCTTTCAGTTTGCATCAGCATCTCTGCAAATAGAGGCCTTGCTGTATCAGTGTATCGTGCAAATATAAACACTGCCCCYCAACTGGGTCTAGTGTTGCATTTTTGTTGTGATAAACTTACATTGTGAAATGTTTCCTTAATGTCATTTAAACAGTTTTGTTCTGTCACCCAGAGTACAAAAATCAAACATTTTTTTGCACTGTTTAATTCCAAATACTGTGGTATTATTATGACAACCTTTAAAGTTCAGAAGAAAGAAAATGTTTTGCTTTCATCATTTTCCATTTTGGAAAGGAACTACTGAAGTGCAAGGTAAATTTAACTACATTCCAATAGAAACAGCAAAGATATTTTACAGACCCAATAAGAAACATCAAAYTCTAGATAATAGTCAATGCTTTTTCATTACTTTCTTCATGTTTASACAGAGGCCTAGAAGAAGGGCAAATCCTCCTTTGTTTCCCTTTAATTTTTAATGTTAGACTTTAGCCATTTCATGGGTTACTTCAGCAACCAAAACTACAATAGACATATGTAAAACTAAGTTAAACCCACTACATTCAAAGCTACTTGTTTTTTTTTTTTTTGAGGAGCTACAAAGACCTTAAAGACTTAAAGACTCTTATCTTAAKCATCCCTAGTACTATTGGCAGATTCCAACTATGGCTTTTTCAAGGGTTTATTAGGAGTTAAATAACTCAAAACTTTCACTGGCCCTTCAAAAAATTCAGCATCTACTGTTCTGAAAACTTTGAATTAGAAARTGTTGTGGAAAAAATGTGAAACCAATTCCTCCCTTCATTAAAAAAAGAAAAAGTCTTATCCTATTTGCTTTTCAAATCTAAGCTTTGTAATAACACTTCCAAACACTATTTTCAGGTCATACTTTTGTGATCACACTTACAAAATATGATTTAATAGGTGTTTTCTGCTGCATACCACTTGCCAGCTGCCTGTTTTAATACCATCTGTTCCCAGCAGAAATCAACTCCAAATATACATTGAAGTCTTTAAAGTGCTTTAGTTCCTACATAACTTATTACATCTTTACCAAATATTTCTTCTACGAGAAACTTCAAAAAGGAGAAACTCTTTATAAAGCAGTTTCTTATGTAAYACTTCACACATACTCTATTTATGTCTTAGGTGTGGAATTGCAGTAAGTTCAAATAATGCCATTTGTGGTAACTCCTGGCTTCATACATAACGAATAAAAACACAATTACAAAACACTTCCAATTCYTTAATAGTGTCAAGTACCATAAGGGCTCTTCCAATGTGAAGTCATCAGTGCTGCACTTGAGATTCTTTAGAACACTACATTTATTTACAAATTGTGCTATAAATTTTAGACTCATCACTTAGTAAGACAGAATAACTTTCTCTTCTACACAATTACTCTGTTCCTCCATAAAAAAAAAAACCACAATTTTTTTTTTTTTATGTTTCAATTTTAAACTTCAAGAAGTTTAGTTTAGGTACCTGATTTTGTCCTTGGGGCCACTAACTCCTTGGAAGGATGTCAGGCCACAAAGTCATGGCTTAAAACTATATGACTTAAGAGAATTTGAGAATCAGCTGTCAACAGAAGGAAGAAAAAGATTAAGGATTTGACTTCAAAACCAGTAAGCCTATAATGAATAAATCCATTTCCTATCACTGCCCTGAGTGTAATTTATCTGCTCTTTGTTTGGATTATTTTAAAAAGTATTTCCTAGCACAATTTTCAAGACAACGTTCCTCAAATGAYGGTACCATTCACTCCGTAACTAGAATATGGAAATCAAAGTTGTCATAAAAATAATAAATTTCTATCTGGCTTTGGATAACTTAACCCTTTGAGAAACAGGAGAATTGTTGTTTCTCCTCAGATCTCAAACTGAAGATGCAGCTCCACAAAATGTGCAAGCCGACCACAGCAGGCTACAACAAAGCTCTCTTTCGCATGCATAAAAGGTGCAAGAAAGCAAACTGTTAATCACAAAAATCATATACGTAACACAGGGAGGGACAAAGTATTCCTGGGAACCAATCAATAGGGGCAGCACCATTGTAAGAGACTGGATTCTTCATGCTAAATCAATTAATTACCTTATTGAACTAATGCTCATACAATCGCTTTAATAAACTCTTGCATTTAATAAACTCTTTTCTTGCAGGGGAAGGGCCATTTCAGCAGTGTTGGGAAGAAGGGTCACCCCAACTACGAGCAGTCAAAAAGCAGGGTTCTTCTAGCTAAAATCTCTAGCACCAACTACACGKTCCCTGCTCTCTTTCACTTCAGCCTTGATAACAATAAAATACTGCCACCCTATGTATTAAATTGCTAAATAAATAGACTTTGCAGGGGCCACTGCAGCTTTCAGAGACCTTAAAATGAACAGCACCTGGGCAGTGAAGGAGTGCAGCGTGGACCAGCCCAGGCAACTAGGTTTCTTCTGTATCACCAAAGAGCATGGAACATATTTGGAAGCTTAAAGGAAAAAAAAAAAAAAAAGCTGAGTTTTGCCTTTATCTGCAGGAGATAAAAACTATGCTGTCTTTATATGACATCTGGCATCATAAAGAGAACATACATTGCATGGCTCTGCAAATAGATGTATTTTGCAATCCCAAGGAATCCTTGTTTAATCCGATGCCTCGAAGAATGTTGTTTTCCCAAACATGTTCCTTTTGGAAATAAACTCTGTTTCACAGAGCTGCACCAAAATCTATTAGTAATTTACTTCCCATGCAGCTACTGATTATCTTATGCTACGCAAGTAACTAAACTAATGAAAATCCTATCCTCCCTAAGCCATTGCACAGAGTTTATAGATATTGACAATCATTTCCAGTAATTTAGCAAAAAAAAGCACATTGAAAGGTTGGTTCCTTTCTAAAATGCCTGAACAGTAATAGCAATCTGTTCAAAGTCATTAAAGCTGTGAACTTCCACAGAAAAAAATTTGAAAATTCGTATGTTATTCTTGTGTGGCATATTCAAGCATCAAACTGCAGCAACAGCCTATTAAAATTTTCTATTTTTATAATGTATAAAATGCTCCGTTGCATCTTCATAGTGTGTTTTAAAAGTCAGTATTTTGAAATACTCTTGATAAGGATTGCACAAAAGATACAGGCTTTTCAAGCTGCAAGGTCAAGCAGCAGATGCCGAAGTCCTCTTGGTCCAAAATGTTGCTTGCTCTTCAACATCTGCACTCAGCAGAACAACTCGGAAGGAAATGCATGGGAGAAAAAGCAGAACTTTTACCTGCCCTTTTGCCTTGTGTTAAATTCCAGGCTTTAATGTTCATAGCAAGTTTGGCAAGTGCAATTCTGAACACAACTTGGTGCTAGATTACAAAAAAAAAAAAAAAGGTGATTGAAGTCCAAAACAGCTAATATTGCTAAATAATACATTTTGGACCCCTTTTTATACAATTATCTCTCCAAATGTTAGATTTCCTGTACCAGCAGCATTAGAATGGCTGGTGACATGAAACACTGCTGAAATGCAGCTATCTGAGGTCAAGGCCACATAGAGCAGTGGCACTGAAGGAAGCACAAAAATAAAGTGAGTTGCACTTAGGCAAGG